GGTGGTCTACCAATTGCTCCTTGGGAGAAAGACCTCGGGCCCCCTAGATAGGTCAGGAGGTCTGAATTTGGTTTCAAAATCTTCCCAGAAGTTAGCTAGGTGGAGAGCGAGCTAGGGAAGCATGAAGAAAGGCCCACGGACATCAAACAACAGGGTGATGTTTTTTCTTCCAGTGGGCTGAAAATTAAAGCCAGAAGGGAACCCAAGACCCCAGGGACCTCAGCTAGAGGCACATGAAGGGACTGATGATGAAGTGCCTCGGGACTTAATGATCTCTGAACCCCAGGAATACAAGTTAACTACAGAGGACATGCTGCTGGTGACAGCTAACATTGCTGAGGGCCCCAGGGTTTCAGGCCCCTCCTGGCTCTGGTTTTCAAGCCTATGCCTTGAAATAACATTCTAGTACACAGAAATTCTCAGACAAATCCATCTTAAGTATAAGTCAGCCTTTAAAAGGTTATTCACAAGGGCAGTAGAAAGGAGGTGAAGTGGCAATTCAACTGACTTGGGATGGGCAGAAGATAGAGGAAACCCTGTCACTTAGGATAGATTATCTGTGCTACCAACCAGGTGCTTTTTCTTTCCTTGTTGAGATGTGGAAAATTTGGGGCTCAACAATTGCCAGGCAAAAATCATTAACCAGAAATAACAAGTAATATAAAAACCCAATAACTCCTTGCCATCAAGTCAGTTCTGACTCATAGCGACCCTACAGGACAGAATGGAATTGCTCCTGTGGGTTCCCGAGACTAACTCATTACAGGAGTAGAAAGTCTCATCTTTCTTCTGAAGAGTGGTTTCAGGCTGCTGACCTTGCAGTGAGCAGCCCACTGCATAAAGACTGAAAGAAGAGATTGACACTGTGGCTGCAACAGTGGGCTCAAACTTGACAATGGTGAGGATGGCGCAGGCCTGGGCGGTGTTTCGTTCTGTTGTACATGGGGTTGCTATGAGTTGGACAAACTTGACAGGACATAACAACCTATCAAACGATGAAGGATATGTGTGTGGCTATTGATCATCTATACGAAGTAATAAAAAATATGTTAGGAACTGCTCACACCGTGAGTTAGGTGTTGGACTGCTTTTCAGAGGAAGAAAGGCGAGACTGCTTTTGTACAGATTTGCAGTCTCAGACCCTATCTCTGTCAATCACCTATTAGTGAATTTTTTCAAACTTGCTAACAAAGTTCACATTGCTCATTTCTGCTTTTGGGAAAGTTTTTTCTTTCTCAAAAAATATCTTGGAAGCAGTTCATTCTGGTCTGGCCCCCTGCTGAGAATTTGCCTTTCCACACCAGAGAGATTGAGATAGAATCTTCATTTTACAAGGTCTATTAAAACTCACCTGCGAGACTTGATTAAAGTGTAGGTTCTGCTTTGGTGTATCTGTGTGGAAATGCAAATCCTCATCAGAGGATTGGAGCAGAATGGACTGATTGAAAACCCTACTCACAGGGTTGGGAGTCCTAGAGAGGTGACAGGCGGGGTACTGGTGGGCAGTGGCTGTGTATGAATGTGTGTGCGTGGGCGCTGGACTGGTGGTGGTGGGTGGGATGGGAGTTACAGCTGCAAAAGATGAACCTTTCCAAAGCCCTCCCTTGAAGATATCAGCTCTTCCCTGCCAGATATGCGAAGCACAGACTGTTCCAACACTCCTCTGCCCAGTGGTGCCAGTTGAGGCACCTTTATGATTTTCTGGTGTTTCCTGTCTTTGTCAAGAACAAGGGGGGGGGCTTCCAAAAGTTCCTGAGAAAATGGAATTCTCTTTTCATTCCATTTTAAATTATTAACTCTTAATAGTTACAGAGTTGTATAAGTATATATTTTAACATTTCCTCTTTGGGATAATTATGGAAGGATATACTCCTAACAGTTATGTAATTATATAAAGATAATCTTTTAAGAATGATCTAATTTCATAATTATCTCTTAATTCCATTTTCCACCAACTTTTTGATGTCACGCACCACCACCTCTCCTGTACTTGAGTGGAAAGAACACCTCAGAATATGTCCAGGAACTCTGGATTCTGCTCTGGACTGTGCTGCCAAATAGCAATGTCCTTTTGGACAGTCCCTTGAGCTGCTTGTGTCTCCAGTTTTCTCATCTGTAAAGAGAAGACACTATCCGTATACACCTCACCGACTGTAGACGCAGGACTGCTGTGAGGATGCCAGTGAGATCTCAGGCCCAATGAGATACCGTTTCTGAATAGGCTTTGAACCATGAGACCCTGTACAAATGCAAGATGTGATCAAGAGCATGATTCCACAGCAAGATTTTCCTTAAGTCATTAATAGGGTTAGTCCCAAAATATTCCTTCAAATCCTGCTTTTCAAACTGCAGTCCTAGGGCCCACCGCCAGGGCATCCTCTGGGAGCTGATTAGTAATGCAGCCACCTAAAGCTAAACATGTTGTCCCCATGTGTTATGCATGCCTATCTAGCTTATGTGCATTATAAATACATGTACACATCTGTTTTAGCTATCATATGCTAACACTTAAAAATAAACTAAAGAATTCACAAAAGATAGGGTCTTGTTTTTCACACATTTTTACTTTCAAATCCAAATACTAGGAATAAAGAATTGTAAAAACCATAGTAAAGGTATATTTGCAGGCTAGAAATACTGACATTATTTCTAGATGGTTTTGACCTCTCAGAAACTCCTTTCTTCACTTGTGCCTCAAAATGGAGCGCTTGGAACACGATTTTAAAGCTAGTGTCACAATCAAGCAAGGCTCTTGTTTTTACAGAAAGGTAAATGAACCCCAGGCATCAAGGCAACAACTACAGGTTTTCCCTCCCGACATTGTTAGTGCCAGGATTTAGTTTCTGCACTCTTTAAACATTAGTTTACTGCTTATTTCTGGCTCTTTTGTTATGTCATATATAACTCGAGACCATTTGCTTCAATACATAGAAAACACTTCTGTGTTCACTGAGCCAAACATTCCCTCTTGCTTTCAACCACTGATTTCCTCCTTAGTCTAGGTTTGCTATAGTTGGGGGTTGGGATGCTGAGGGCAAGAAAGGACAGTGACAGCTCCAAAGTGACCCTGCAGTCAGGACAGATACTTTCTCTGGAAAAGAGTCCAAACCACCCCTCTTTTGTGTTTTCAGGAGATGCATTTAGAAGACACCACCAGATTCTGTCCCAAGGAAGAGCGAGAAAGTGAACAGACATCTTTCAGCGATCAAAACCCCAGGCAAGACCAGAAAGGGGGCTTTCGCAGCTCCTTCCGCAAGCTCTTTAAAAAGAAGTGAGTAGTCTTTAGACAAGACAGCATTGTAACTCATTTCCTTGGAACTTTTAAAAAAAATGATGTCTCAGGTAGCCTGGTCTCACACAACTGCTTCAAGCTCAGTGCCTGACCCAGCAGTCACGATTCCCGCTGAGTGACGATGTTTCCCCAGGTAGCCTCCCAGAGTAGAAGTAGGCTCACCCCCTTCCCCTGCTTCCTCTGTCTTTTAGCCCTCCCATCCTTTCCCGCAAAGTCCAGTATCTGGAGAGGACTGAGCAGAGGTGCCCAGGGAAATGAGCTGGAGACAATCAGATTCCTTTTAGATTGGGAGGGTGGTAAGGGGTGCTCCCCTGACCCTACACACACTCCTCTCTGTGGGAGGATTTTCCAAGGGCATCTCAGCACTTGTGCTTGTATGGATCTCTAGTGGTCCTGGATGCTAGTTCATATATATATGGGCACTTCTACAAATGTTTTTCTTAATGGATGGCTTGGGCTCTAGTTATAAATCTCTTCAATGCTGTTTTCATACTTGGATGAGAAGCAAAAGGCAAGGCAGTGTCCCTCTGTGGTCTCTGAAGACTCTGAACCCTCTTTGTCTTATGCCACATCACCCACCAGACATTTTGATCAGCACTTAGCTGAACCATCTTACCACCCAGAGTATGTCGGAGTGAGCTGGGCATTAACCTTGAGCCGTAGAGGGATCCCCCAGCCAGCCCTGCCCGATGCTGCTATTGCTGGCCTTGCTGGCTCCAGGCCTCCCTCCCTGCCTCTCCTGGAGAGATTTTCCCCTGGTACTTAGTTGCTGTTGGCAGAGGAGGCTCTTACCATCCATTTTGCCCAGCAAGTCTTCCTATTTTCATGCACGGAAAAGGTAAACAAAGCCCATAGATGCCCCATTACTCAGGAGCTGATGAACAACTTCTTAAAGGTAGAAGTCACTGGTTGATTTAGATAATGGTCTTGATGGCAGAGTTGGGAGTAGGAGGAACACGTGTGGAATGAGGACTTTTTTTTCTTCTTTCTCAGTGGTTTCTAGAGTTCTCCTCCCCTCGGGAACTCGGTTCTGAGATGAGTGCGTTTCTGATTATTGGCCCCTAGCTGTTGCTGGTGACGGTGGATTGAGCAGGTGTGAAGGGATAAAGGAGAGCAAAAGTCCTGCAATTAGCCACAGCCTTACTCTGCCAAGTCCCCTTTCCCAGTTGCTAAAGCAGCCCACAGGGTGGGTCTTCACACCACGCTCTTTATTCAAGGGCTGAGGTAGGATCAGAGACTTGGATCTTTTCTGGCCAGTGCCCACCTCTGATGAGTTTGCCCGAGGCGGGGGCCTAGCAGCAACTCTCTGGTGCAAGTGTGGAATATAGGTTCCTAAGTCCTTGTAAGAACTTAGAACTCCCATGGTTACTGGTGGATCCTGTCTTTTATTTTTTTCTCTTAAACACGACTGCTAAGTTGCCAACACAAAAAAGCCATTCACAATCACGGGGTGCTGGGCGTTGGAAAGCAATGAGCGATGGAACCGCCGTTGGTTCCTTCATGAATTCCCATTTACCTGAGAGATCTGGAGATGCTCAGCCACTTGCTTCCACAAGGCAGAGGCGATAGACTGGAGCAGGGGCAAAGGAAGAACTCGCTACCAATTTAGCTGCCTGGACCTGGAGTTGGTTGCTTCTGTAGGGAAGGGGTTTTCTCTATCTGAGCAGAAGCTAGATGAGCCTAGTCTTGGATGCACTGGAAAGGATTCTCACTAGATGGGAGCTCACTCAATATCCAGGATCAATTCTAGTATTGAGATTAGATTTATCTCTAGTTTGACTTTGTTGCAAATCAGTCTGAGTCATCACATCTATTTTTTACCACCTGAAACCAAAAATTAATATGGGCCTTGGGAGCAGTAATTTAAAAATCTCCACCATGTGGAAGACCAGGATATTTCGATAGCCTTGAGCTCCACAAAGTCACGCTGGTTAATTGCTGTCACTCTTTTTCTTGCTTTTTGGCTGCTTTTTCGATACAGGGCCAAATGGATCCCCTTAGCTCATGTGTTTTTCCTCACAGACGAGTCCCTCTCTTGCACCTTCATCAGTAATAGTGCTGCCACCAATACTGGTCCTGTCCTTTGTATTTGAGTCTGAAGAGTTATCTGATTGGAAGCAAAGGTGGTGCGGATAACTGCTTCCCCTAGAGGGCTTTCCAAGTTTTGTTGGTCTGGCCTAGGGCATGGGAACCATCAGGTGATGTCTGCTGGTGGCCTGTTGTTCTGGATGCCACGCTGGGTACTTTGGGGAATTGCCACAGGAAGAAACTTGAGTAGCGTCTGATTATTTCACCTGAGGACTCTGGCAGGTACACCATTGTGCTAAGGTAGCGAGCAAGGGCAAGGGAGGCTCAAGTTAAGCACAGGAAGCCCAGTGGCTTCACTCAGATGAACACACCGTTCTCCTCATTGATTCAGCATCCTTTCTTAGCTGCATGCTCTTATGTGAGGCGCTCATGTAGGGATCATGGGTGGACAGGGTGCATCCCGTGACATAGGCACCTGCGGTTTGAAGTTGGGCATGTGGACAAGTACAGGGAGGCACCAGAAAGAGGCAATCAACCTATCCTCCTCCTGGGTGCTGAGAGGTCAGGCTAGCAGCGAGCCCTGGGACTCAGTTTAGTGGCTCATGCCGAGGCCTAGCCCCACACCAGATCTTGGCCTCAGGCCCATTGGGTGCTGGGAGAGCTGCCTGTGCTGCCAAGTCTCGGGCTCTCTGCCTGCCTCCCCGATGGCCCTTTGGTGACTCATTCCTGTCTACACTGACACACTTTTTGTATCCATAGGGGCTTGTTTGGCTGGTGGCCCCACACACCCAGAATGCTGCTTCGGGATGAAGCTAGGCATGGAGCCAGACGCAACAGAAAGGCCGAGAAAGGGTTCTCTTCCCTCTGAGGCTGGGAGGGCCGAATGCTCAGACCCACGAGGAGTCAAAAGGGAGAGTCAACTTGACATCATAAAACTAAACCTTGAAACACGCCCAGGATATGTGGAGGGGAAAGGATGCCACTCTGATTGTTTCCAGCTCAGTCACATTTGCCCTGGTTAGATGCCAGGTCACATGTCCCTGAAAGCTGCCCAGAAGTGATCAGAAGGAAGAGGACGTGTCTTACAGTGTGAAAATGTTAAGGGTCTTTAAGGAGGAGTCTCAGAAGCCAGGAGCTAGATGAATGTGCTAGGCCGATGCTGGGCTCCATCCTTATCTGCCTGCTTTGGAACAGCACGGAAGGCAAAAGGCAAACGATCCCACTTAGCAGGATCTAGATGAAAGCTGTCCAAGGCTTAATCCTAGACGACCCTGAAGTCTTAGGCAAAAGCGACTTCATCTTTATATACAAATCTCCCACTGAGGTTCCTGAGTATTCTTAGGGGTGGGGCATGGGGCGAGAGGATTGTGTAGACAGTTTTAGGGGGAGGGAATAGAGCTGTTTCTCATTCTCATTTGCGGGGAGGAGTGGAAAATCAAGTATCTGGCTCCCTGATGATTAGTCCCATTTCCTTGCCCATCCTCCACTTCCTCAGCACTTCTTACTTGCACATCTCAGAGCATCCCATCCGGTCACCACGCTCTCTTTCTGCCATCACATCAAAATAGCATTAGGTTTGTAATCACACACACACACACACACACACACACACACACAAAATAGCATTTGCTTTGTAATCACCCACACATATGCACATGCGCATGCGCGCACGCCCAGGATCATTCAATGTCAGTGAATTCTCTTCTGGTGTTGTAGCAGTTATTTTTGCATATGCTCAACTTTGGCCATAGAACAGACTACATACTAGAAACCAGGGCTGCTAAAAAATCCATTGATAATTTTATCCACCCCTCCCTCTCTGTCTCCTTACAACCCAGCTGAAGTTCCTCAACCCATTCTTCCCCACTTCGGGTGCTCTCTCATTTCTCCTTTCATTGCTGCATCTAGCTTTAAAATGGAAAGGGGGTGGTTGAAGGGATACATAGTTTAGATTATTTATCCCTGATTCCCAGTGTTTCTCAGTGGCTCATTTCAAGTCAACCAATAAGGATCTATATATCTGTTTAGTACCCAGATTCTGTTCAGTGAAAGAAATAGTTCCAACCAGTCCGAGGCCAACAGTGCAAATTGCAAGGGCAACGTGGCACGTAGCGACCATCTATAGCACTCAGCCAATGGGAACCAGGGGAAGGCTCCCTTGTGACCTGTTGAGCAGGGCTGACTGATTTGACTGGTGGCCCTGCTTGCTGCTGCTCCATGTGCAGGTCTCCTAAAGACCTCAGGTAGAGCAGTCTTTCCAGAGGAGCAGCCCTCCTTGGCTGGCCTCCCCGTGTACTATTTTCTCTGTCCCTGTCAACGGAATGGCAGCAGTTAGAAAAATGACTCTTTCCACCAAAAGCTGGGATGACTTCCTGTCAGAGCTTAGTGGCGGCCATGGTACCTTTGCCCCGCCTGCCCCTTCAGTGTGCTCAGTCAGAATGGCCCCCCAACGCTCAAAAGCCCTCTCCTGCTTAAAAGAGAAAGAAAAGAAAAGCCAGCCCACTGGCCCTTCCTCCTAGCTTGCACAGCACATTTCCCCGTTAGGTAGGTGTATGTTCTGAGCCTTCACCACCACACCTTGGGAAGAGTCCATGTGTTCGGGTGGTCTTATCTTATGTAAGCACCACGCTGAGGTCAGTTCACGTGCTCTTTAACGAGGAGGAAAATGAAGAATGCTAGATTCCGAAAGACCGGCAGTCGTGCCTGTAGACACTAACAGCTCCCGTACAGAACTGCAGAGAAATTCAGACCCCTGGAGTCACAGAGAGGGTGCAGTTGGTGAGAAGAGCAGTTCAAAAGAGAAATAAATGAATAACAAAGCTGGGTTTGCAGACCTGAAAAACTAGACAGGGCGATTTTGGCATCTGTTTCAGAAATGGGAACGCAACTGGTGAAGATTTCTGTGGTCCTTGGGGCTGGTGGTGACATCAAAGCTTTCCCATTCCCAGGTAAACACTGAACAGCTGCATGTTGGAACGGCCAAAGTGTGCCATGTTGGGTTTTAGAGAGCTCATGTAGCTAAGAGGGGAAACCTGAGGTGAAAATTGGAAGTTTTGAACTAATGACTTTTGATGAGAAACTGTTATGTGGGGAAAACAATTCTGAAGAGTCAGAAGCCAGATTAAAATCCCGCTCCCCATTACCCACTCCCTATACCAGAGGCTTTCCTAGTCTTGCAGAGCGTGAACTGGTCAGGCATGTCTATCATTGTAACACTTGGGGCCCAGCTGGACTAATCTGGGATGATTTGAACTGGACATAGGTGGGAGTCTTAGGGAAGGGCAGTTGGAGGCTGTTTCAGGGAGAGTTTAGGTTGGAGGGTGGCTCTGAGAAGGAAGAGGACTTTCAGCCCACCTAGGTGTCCGCTTAGGTGGAACCAGTGGATGGGGACTCAGCCAAAGTTGGGTGGAGACCGAGAAGTTTTCCCTTTCTTCCTTGGCGTCTAGTGAGAGAATGCTCCCTACCGACTGGACAGAGAAAGCAGATGCACAGCTCTGGTTTGATCTGAGACATCAAAGCAAAATCTGAAAGCACCTAGTCAGTCATCAGGTTGCCCAGCACCAGGGTTCTTCGTGTGGCTCCTACCGCTTTTCCTTGAATACTTAAAAGAGATGTTTGAATTCTTCCCATTTAGTTCCATAACTGATAGTCATAATCAACTTTATTTAAAAACAACCCTTGGAGGGAAAGACCCGAGAGACCATTATCCTCCTTTTGTGGATGGAAAGGCATCAGGATGGGGGGAACCCATCGGTTGTGTAGGAGCGTTGGATAGAGGACGTCTTTGTCTAGCATCACTTGCGTAAATACATCTGTGAGGTTTTTTGCTCTTGAGTCGCAGTCACTGGACTGACGACCCATTCCAGCCTCGAGTCTAAGCCAGCCACCCGGCCCCAGCCCAGTTTGTCAGAGGTAATCTGCAGAAAGCCTCCTCCCTGCAGGGACTTCTGACATGAACAAACTGGAGCAAGTGCAGAGCTGGAGTGGATGACCCACCTGGCTTAACCACGCTAATGGAAGAATGCACCTGGGACTGGGCGATCAGTTGGACGGAGGATTTGTGTTGTTAACACTTGAGTGGGCCTAGTCTCCTTTGCGGCGACTTGAGATTGTGGTACTTAATCTGACGACTGTACTAATTTCTGCATCTTAAAAAATGTAGTGCATATGCGTGGTTGGCTTCAATAAATCTTTCATTTAAACACGAAAACCAACAAAAGCAAGAGTTTGTAATGTAACACCCAAATTCAGTAATGACCTTTACAACCTTGGCTGAGAACAATGGATTCCATCCATTTTAATTTAAGGACCATGGTATTTGTGGAGTAGTGACTTGGTTGAATTCAAAATAGGTTGTTGGGTTTTGGGGGGTATTTTTTCCCCTTAGTTTCTGAATCTTATCCTCCTTTACAGAGTCATTACACAATATGGACCAGACAGAATTGTTCCCATAAAGCTTTAGGAAGTTATTCTCTTTTTGTTTGCTGCAAACCTCAGATCCACATGTCCTGAGCTATGATATCCAGGGGTAGAAAAAATGATTCCAGGTCTAGGAGGCAACTGTTTTACAAATGCAAACAATTTGGATAGATAAAATACTTGAAAACAATGAAAACCAAATCAACCTGTACTTTATCTGTGTGCTGAGATTTTAGGTCCAGTGGATCAGAATACAGGGAAAAAACTAATGAAAGCCCCTCAATGGATCCTTCACCCACCAAACAAGATTTCTTCAGAAACCGACTTGCTCTTGCAAATGACCTTGACCAAGGAACAGCTGTGTAAAAACATACTTAAAGTGTTGTCAAGTGGTAAGATGAGGACACAAAGCTTGTATACAACTGTGCAGGAATATATATATATATCAATGTATAAATAAATCCCTGAGGAGAACTAATATAAACATTTACATATGAAACTAATTCAACAGACAAGATGTTGAAGAGATGAAGATTTGTTAGTCTTTGATTAAGAGCCGGCTTTTTGAACTTCAACGTGTGGGGAAAGGGAAATGAAGACTAACAGAGCAATTAGACAACCACAGTGAATCTGGAGGAAAATAAACGTTTGTAAGAACAAAATCTTCCACCTCGAAGTCTTTCCCCTAGCAGAACACTGAGCATGTTTGTGTTTAGGATGGATGTGAATTTTACACTTTCGAAGGCTTTAAGCTTCTGAGTGCTTCTCCGTGTTCTTAGCTTCACATCTGCTATATTAGGGGCCACTTCTGTCCCGCCACCTGTCTCCCAAGAGCCCCAGGGCAATACCTAACTTCCCTTCAGGGGAAGGACCTGAGAATAGAACTGTGTCTTACATGTGGCAAATCTGAGTTGTGGAGAATGTTTGTCTTGAACCATGTGAACTGAAGGTTCAAACTTCTGAACAGAAGGTTCAAAGCTTAAGGGCACATTGACCTCCAAACAAGGAAATAGGTTTGAGGGTAGCATTTCTTTCACTCCTGTGGTTATGGACATGAGGAAAGGGAGTCTAGAATGTGGGGGTCAAGGAATTAGATTCCCTCATGTGGGCTGTGCTGGAGGACGCAGTCCAGCACCAGCTCTCCCGGGCCCATTGGGTTGGGGGGAAAGGCGCCGACTTAACCACAGCATCTTCAAAAGACTTTCTTCCATAAAGCTGGCAACCCCGCCGATGCTTTCCTGGCTCTCACACAGTCATTGCTACTAAACACCAAACAAGCCAGCATGAGATCTCAGGGCGGGCAGGACCTGACTGCCAAAAGTCAGCTGTCAAGGCACAAAGTTCCTGCAGCGCAGAGAAAAGAATCCTCATACGGGTGAGGCTGGCCTGGCTGTGGGGTCCTAAACTGAGCTCTTTTCCCACCCTCTTTGAAATGCCCAAACAGCATGGGGAAGGAAAAACAACGAGTTTTAGCCATTTGTCTCCGTCCAGGCAGTTACTGAGAATACAGCAGGGCATTTGGGCATAGTTCATTGAAAGTCTTGGCGTTCTCAGCCGACTTCTTCGCAATGGGTTCTGCTGAAGAGCACACCAGTTGATACAGCACAAAAGCTTCACTCTCAGGTGTTATAAGTTTTCTTCTACTTTCTGATGATTGGCCAGCAACTCACTCATTAGCATTTCGAACCACAGGTGTCTGGAAAACTTAGAGGGTCACCGGAGTGGTTTCCAATGTTTAGGTTTAAGTCAAGCTTTTCATTTCACTGAAATTAAGACCCTCATTTGAAATTAGATTTCTATTCCCAGGCCAAGAGGCTCTGAAAGGCTTTGAAAGCAAAATGCCAGATTGATGGAACATGGTAAGGAAAATGAGAAGTCACAACCCCTTAAATAAAATGTCAAAAGCAATCAAACTCCTTTCCCTTCCCTATTCTGTTAATCTTCAAAATGAACAGTTCCTAGGGAAGATTAAAACTATCACACATCCCCCCAAATCTCATCCCCCCAAAAATCCTGATGGCACGTGTATAGCAAACGATCTATTTGTATGATGATTTTATGAAAGTAGTCTAAAAACTAGTAAATAATCACTGCTTCCATTCTCAGGGTCCCTGTCAAGAATCCGAAACACAGACTCTCCCAGATGCTTTCTAATTGTACTTCTCTGCCTTGCATCCCTCTAACACATTTGCAGCCCAAAGCATAGCTTGGTGTGACTCTCTTCAACTGTTCTTTGCCTATAGTCAAATCCCAAACTCCTTGACTTGACATTCAAAGTTCTCTTCATGTGTGTGTGTGTCTTTTAGTGATTCCAGGTCATATACCTTTCTCAGGTTCACTCTTGTCTCCTTCCTCTCAGTTCATCTTCAAGACCCGATTTAAGTCCCTTTATCTGTTTGTGACCTCTTGTGGTATACCTGGTTTAGCTTTGAATGTATATGCCTTGTTGCCTTCCTAACAAGAATGCAAGCCCCGCCTACCTCCAGAAGAATGCCTCCTGAGTTGCAGGTGCTTAGTTTAATGGCTGTGTGCTAACAGGCAGTGGGGCTAGAAAACATGATTTCTATTCGAACTTGACAAAGGGCTTCATGGTCGTCACTTCTCGCACAGAAAAATATATTTTAAAAAAACAGTCACAAGGGAAATCAAATGCAGTTACCTTAAGAAACAGATAAGGTGTTAACAGGTGTAGACAAACTTTAGAAAACATCTAACACACACACACACACAATTACTACTGTTCTTCTCCTGTGTTGTTCATTTCACAGTCCATGTAGGTAGGACTGTAAATTAACAGGCAAGATAGTTGCAGTGCCAACTCAACGAGCAGAGTTTCTGGGAGTTAGGGTTCTGAGATGAGGGACACTTCATGTCAAGCTGCTTGGAGGGATGAAGTCAGGACAGGAAGGGGCCTGGCTGCGTCTATGAGTTCCAGTGCCTAAGTGAAGCACAGTTTACATAACCACAACTGTCTTCTGGAAGAGTTTGGGTTGATTAGCAGAAAAGCACTCTCTCTAACAGGAAGTTGGATATTCTTACTACACAAGCCTCGAGTGGCAACAGGCTTGTGACAGCCCGCTGGGGTTTATCTACAAGACCAAGAAAGAGAGGAGACTGAATTTTAGGACGGAATAAGGAATCAGTTACACTTATCTTGAGATATAAGGAACACGGGTGGAACCGTGGTTAAGCACTGTGAACCTACCAGCCAAACTGAAGAAGCAAGATATGGTGGTCTGATTCCATGAAGACTACCGAGGGCAGTGGGTCTCAACCTTCCTAATGCCGTGACCCTTTCAGACAGTTCCTCATGTTACGGTGAGCCCCCAAACATAAAGTTATTTTCGTTGCTACTTCATAACTATAATTTTGCTACTGTTATATATCGGGCGACCCCTGTAGAAGGGTCGTTTGACCTTCAAAGGGGTTTCGACCCACAGATTGAGAACCCCTGACCCAGAGCTTAGGAACCCTATGGAGCAGTTTAGTAATTTGGGATCAACTCGACAACACACAATCATCACTTTGAGGTACAGAAAATGGAAAACAGCAGACCAGAATCCTATATAAATACTCTATGTTTAAACTGACCTCCTATGATCTTTAGTATCATATACTTGTAAGATTTCCATTAAAAAATGTCTACTCACATCAGTACTCATTATAAATGGGTAAAATTGATGAACTATGTAGTTCCTAAGTGCAAGTTAGTAACTCATATTTTAAAAATCATGAAAAGAATATTCTGCATTAAGTTGTTTGATAACATTAAATCTACTTTCAGACTAAATTTCCTTTGGAAACATCATCACTTTCTTTCTGAGTCTAAGATAATAATGCTTTGGGGACGCTTGGGATTCTCATCTCCTGAAAAGTGATTTAATTTAAAAACATGGGTAGAGCCTTCTTAGGGTCTGAGCATCCTATTGCTTATGGTCTATAGACCTTAAAACACTCAAACTCACTACCACCAAGTCAATTCCCACCTATAGTGACCCTATAGGACAGGTAGACCCTATTGGTTTCTGTGTAACTCTTTATGGGAGTAGAAAGCTTCTTCTTTCTTCCACAGAGCAACTGGTGGTTTCAAACTGCTGACCTCATGGTTAGCAACCCAATGTGTAACCACCATGCCACCAGGACTCCCAAGTCCAATGAGTCTCACATTGGGGTTAGGAAAAGGAGGGGAGGAGTTGGGGAACACGGGGCGTGAGCCATAGTTTCTTAAACAGGGTTATGGATTGGAAAAAAAGGAGAAAACTCTCAGAGAGATATATTTTGAGAGGAAAAATTAAGATGCTGTGTGAAATTAGAGCTGAACTTTAAACATAAGGGAATGAATTAAGGCAATTCTGAAAATACCGTCAGAATTTTTTTTATTTTTTGGTGGGGGTAGTTATTAGATGTTCACCATGGTCAAGATTCTTCTCAAATCAAGTAACATTTATTTTTCAAAATCTGTTGTTTTAGAAAATGCGCTGTGCATGCTCTTTAGGAAGTCATCTAACCTTGTTTCCTGTCTACAAAACAGGAATTTTAGTTCCTTCGTCTTGTCTAATCCCCTCTAGAGATTATAGCATGGAACACTTGGCGCTCAGCAGGGCAGTGACTGTGCTGTGCACGTAAGCCTGTCCTGCTGGAAGCGATGGGCCCGCCGTGCTTCTGTCTCAGCGGGTCCTTTCAGGGCCGGACTGGTTCCAGTGCCCCTCCCTTCCTTTCCATCAGCACAGTTTCCCTTTCAGCTGGGGCCAACCCTTCAGCATAAGAACATGCTCTTATTCCTTCCATCTTTAAAGCAGCAAGACCTTTCCAGGTTTTTTACCTTTTTTGGACCCTTCCAGCTGTGCCCCATTTCTGTTTCCTTTTCTATAAAAACTTGAAAGAGGCCATTTCTTAGCCTCTCTCCACCAGCTCCGCTGAACCTCAGGGAGTCAGTGATGTGCCCCTGTCAGTGTCACCATTGACTTCCACGTGGTTTAGTGAGTCGCCTTCCTAGTGGTGTTACTTTTCCCATCAGGTAGCATTTGACACGCTGATCACTCCCTCTTCTGAAATCCTTTCCTCACTGGGCCCCAAGGGCACAAGAGACTCTGGGCCTTCATCTTAAGTCACTGGTGGCTGCTCCCAGGTCCATTTGCTGGTTCCTCTGTTTTCACTCCTCTTGAGGTTAGAGTGGCCCAGGGCCTCCTTGTGCTCCAACTTCTTCTCTTTCCAGAGAGTACCCATGTCCTTGGTGATGCCACGCTTGAAAATCAGCTCTTTATGAAGGTGACTCACAATGTTCTCTCTTAAGCCAGCCTGATTCCTGGACTCCAGGCTCACATACCCAACTGCCTCCTGGCATCTCTAAATGTCTAATAACGTAGCTACTGAACTGAACACTCACAAGTCAGCTTCCACCAGCCCTGCTGCATCTCAGCCCACAGTAGCTTTATCCTTCTGTTTGCTCAGGTCAAAAACTCTGGTCATCCTTGACATGCTCTTTTTCCTATTCCCCACAACTAATCTGTCAGCAAATCCCTCCACTCTGCTGTTTGTCCTACCTCTACCATTGCCCAGACACCTCTATCGGACTGACCTTTTACTCCCTTTCCCCCTCTCATTCTCACCGCAGCAGCTACCCTGCTAAAATGCCCGTCAGCCCCTATCCCTCCTCTACTGCAGCCCTCTAAGGACAAGCCAAAGTCG